CTCTTACGTCGTGGGTGGATATGAGGTCTTAAAGAAGTGAGTGGGTTAATACAGGTGTCACTCCAGCAACTTTAAATCGCGGACCCAATTTTCAGTAATACAATGCCTGCAGTGTCCTTTGGGGAATGGTTGTGGTCTAAAAATATAATAGGATTCTCATGTTGACGTTTAATCTATGGTGATCTATTGTTGCGGAATACTTATTGGACTTTTCCGATACTGTTCCTATTGATATATTTATCGTGGAAGGCGTGATATTTAAGTCTTTGAAGCCGAGGAAAGTTATCTCGAGACCAAGAGACTGCGCCGAGAGAGTGCTGGAATTGACTACGCATAAGTTAGAGGTCTGAGTGAACGTGCAAACCCGTGGGATAAGAAAAATAGTTAAATGAATCAGAATAGTGAGACTTTAATAGCATTCGATTTTACAGAAACCAAGAGATTAAATTAACGGCGAGGCAAGGGCAATTTTAACTGTAGCACCTAACTCAAGGGTTGTAAATATTACTAGGAAAATTACTGCCAAAAGTTATGCCAGGCATATCGTTTCCCTGACCGATAAATTGCGTCCCGTAACCGGTAATAAGGCTGTGCGAGACGGGTAACTTCAGCCAAAGGAGGGCTGGCTGACCTCGACTAGAGTTCGATTTTCACAGGAGACGCCAGTTAAGAATGAAGCTTGTCCGAGAATGTCCTCCTGCAGCTCATCAATAACCACTGCCCACTGGCAAATGTAAAGCAGAAAAGCCGGCCTGTGTGGCTAAATAGCGACCTAAATATAGTTCACTTCAGTTCAGTTCAGTTCAGTTTATTGAGGGAAATAGGCGTAAGCCTTTGAGTACCCTATTTACAACGTAAAAAATGTGTGGTGTACAGATAGATGTTCTGGGCTGAAATAGTTCGAACACGCCCATAATGTTGGGACAAAATGAGAAGGAGTTACAGGGAGTGAGGTCGACTTTTCATCGCTCTTGGTCATTTCGGAACATAAATATGTCCAGATTCTTCTTAAAACTTTGTATAGATGGTGACATCACAACATCTGCGGGAAGCTCATTCCATGGTTTGACCACCCGAACCGAGAAGGAGAACTTCCGCACATTC